ACAAACTTCTACAAAGTAACTAAAGAAGAGTACGACAAACTCATACATGAAAACTTCACCACGTCATACGAGAAAGCAAAAGAAGGAAGCACCCACGAAATCAACAACGTAGCCAATCAATTGCTACAAAACTTAAAATCGAGGACCGAATGGAAAGCAATGCTGAAAAAGAGGCTTTTATAACACTCAAAGATCATAAAGAAAACTTCTTAAATAAACCAAGCTGCAGACTCATAAACCCATCAAAATCATAAACCCATCAAAATCAGAAACCGGACTCATAAGCAAGACCATCCTCGATCGGGTAAACCGTGACCTGCTCACAAAAACCCAAATGAACCAATTGAAAAACACCGCTGCTGTCACCGAATGGTTTAAACACATCCCATACAAATCAAGCAGCACATTCATATCCTTTGACATCTTGGAATTCTACCAATTCATCACAAAAAATGCGATCAAGTACGCACGAAAGTACACCAGCATCTCCGAACACGAAGCAGATATCATTATGCACTCCCCAAAATCAATATTGTTTGGTAACGATTCAACATGGACCAAGAAAAACTCGGATGACATGTTTGACGTTACTATGGGAAGCTTCGACGGGGCCGAAATATGCGAACTTGTCAGATCCTTCGTCCTATCCTCCCTCATCCCAATACTCGGCAAAACCGACGTCAGTCTCTAGCGAGATTATGGCCTCGCCGTCATGAGCAGTTCATCACCAAGACAATGCGATAAAATGAGAAAAAAATATTATATCTATCTTCCACGCATTCGACCTCCGCCTTACCATACAGGCGAACATCCACACCACCAACTTCCTCGATGTCACACTCAGCCTAAACAATGGGTCCTTCAAGCCTTACAGAAAACCAAACAACCAACTACTCTACGTCAACAGAAAATCAAACCATCTCCCATCTATCCTGAAACAAATTCCCGCATCTATTAACAGACGCATATCCAACATATCTGATTCCAGCGAATCATTTATCAGGCCGCCCCTGACTACGAACAAGCTCTGCAAAACAGCGGATTCCACACAAAATGGAATACCAGCTTCCACAACCAAAATCTCCGAAGAAAAACAGAAGCAGACAAATAATCTGGTACAACCCGCCATTCAGTAAAGGAGTGAAAATCAACATCGGAAAATCATTCCTTAACCTTGTCAAACAGCATTTCCCGAGTGGCAACATATTGCACAAGCATTTAACAAGAACAATGTCAAAGTCAGCTATAGCTGCTCAAGAAACATGGGCAGTATAATCGAAGCTTCTGGTTGCTAAGCAACAACAGCCATAAACTCTCTGCAATTGCAGGAAAAAAGATGAATGTCCACTCCCTGGAAATTGCCTTACCTCATCCATCATCTACAAAGCCACTGTCCACTCAAATGATGACACAAAATGCTACATCGGGCTCACTGACACACCGTTCAAAACCCGATACACAAACCACAAATACACTTTTAACACCCCCAAACACAGAAACTGCACCGTGCTCTCCAAATACGTATGGAAATTAAAAGACAGCAACACACCCTACAACATTTTAATGGTCTATCATCGACAGAGCATCGGCTTACTCCCCAAAAACAAAACGCTGCAACCTGTGCATTACCGAGAAACTTCACATAATATATTCAGACAAACAGTCAATACTATACTATTGTCTAAATGCAGGCACAGCAACAAATACCTACTTTAAAACAATTAACTCATTTGCATTTTACCTGTCTCAGCATTCATATATATGTTTACATAGACTAGATACATACGCACATGCACACACAAGTAAATTTGTTTTTCGAGGTGAAGTAAGGCTGATAATTATCATTTGTTGAATTCAAGATTGCGACTCTTACTTTTTACGAGCTACGTAGATGCAAAAAGCAGTTTACAATGTAAAACTAAACAGAATAACATGTTAATAGAGCTGAATAATTTGATATACTTACCGCTGTTGTTGCATCTGTAGAATAGACAGCTGTAGTCAATTCCAGTGTAGACGTCGTAAAGTTTGCTGTAGCATTTGGAATTAACGCACCTGGTGGTAAAGCCTTTGGTTCTGGTGGAATACATGCTGGCGATGGAGTTCCTGGCTCTGTCATGTTTGCCGATATTGTTAAAGAGTTACCAGATACATCTGCAGCAGTCACAGTAAATAGAGGGCAACAACATGTTCCACTAGAACATAAAACAAATGTAATTTTAAGAATGAAAGAATTTTAAATTATATATATATATATATATTGTATTATATATACATATATACATATACAGTATATATATATATCAACACACAGACATCCAATATAGCGAAATGAATATAATGGCACCGAAGAAATTCCTACGTTTTCACAATGATACACCATGAAAGAAAAAGTCAGCAGACAATTTTGATGTAACAATGGAGAGACATGAGGGTGCAGAAAAATGCAAGATTGTTGGAACACATTCTCCATTGCATCTCCAAACTTTGGAATGTATAGAGATGCTGGATTAGCCGTTTTTTGAGACACTAGCACAGCCCAAATTGAAAAAATAAAGAAAGACCTCACATCAGTCTTCCACTCAAATGGAAAATTGTAGCCGAAGCAAACCTAAAATCTGTAAATTTTCTTGTCACCTTTGATCGCAGACTAGGTACATACTTTTCACATAATATATCAAAAACAATGTCAAAGTAAAGCTATTTGTATATGCCAAGCCTCCAGCAGAAAATATCAGCCCACAACCAAATGAAAACAATTCCAAATGAAACTAAACCACATTCATGTCGATACAACTGCATGTCGATACAACTGCAAAAAATAGGCTCTCGCAAAAAGCTTGAATATACTGCTACATTAATGTTTAAAGTGAATGTGTGTACGATGTATGCTTGTTTTGAAGCGTATGAAGGCGATAATTCACTATGAATACAGTATATAACAATATATGCTATATATTATTTTTACTTATGTACATTTTATTATGTTCATTGATTTCTAAATTGTATTTAATAGTTATCATTATATCATGCGTTATATTTAAACTCATACATATACCT